CTGTCGTCGGCCACCTCGGATGGCGTCACCCATGAGCTTGTCGGCGGCGGGCAGGCCGATTGGCATGCCGCCGCCACTGGCGGTTGATGGGCTCTCTTCCTCGGCGACCATCTTCCCCTTGCGCCGCCGCTCTCTATCGAATTCCTCCTTGCGCCGCTGCTCCTTTTCGGCATTGTTGGAGTCGCCGTCGGCCACGTCAACACTGCCGCCACCGTTGCCGCCGAGCACGCTACGGTCAGCGGCCGCCGCTACCGTCGTCGTCTCCCTCGGGCGAACTCGCGGCGTTCTATTTCTGTCCGACGACGTGGTCGACACCACCAGAGCTCCATCTCCATCTCCATTGCCAGTACTCCCGGATGGCGTCAAGACCACCACTTGGCCCTCCGTGCGTTCCATCGACTCCTCACGCCGCGACCTCTGCCGCCTCGGAACCTGCGCAGCGGCGAACATGCCTGATGTATCCATCCGCCGGGGTGGCACGCACGATCGACACGAGGATCGATCGATCGATCAATTTCGAAGAGGGCGGTATGCATGGGAGGCTCTTCGTGTTTGATATGGATTCTACTTTGGTAATTCATACGAACTCTGGCGCGTATACCAAACCAAACCATCGCGGTTTCCTCTTCCCTACGAGCCGGAGACTCCTCCTCGCACGCGAATACGCGATCACCTTCCCTCTCAGCGGTCGGCGGCGGCGGCGCGGCGCTCCTCCTCCCTACCCTCCCTCTCGCGTCGTGCGTCCTGCAGTCTTCCCAGGCAGTGTGATGCAGATCCGATCGCCCATTGATCGGAGAAGCCGATGTGGCACCAAGTTGATCGAACACGCTAGCTAGGAGATGGATTTGAACGGAAGGTATTTTCATCTTCTTCTTCGATCTGCTGTTGCTTTGGAGTGGAGATGTTTCTTTTCTGTTCTTGCACATTTGTTTTGTCAGAAAGATGCATTGAAGGTGTTTGTGTTTATGCCTGACTACTGTACTTCTGTCGTCCCAAATTAAATTATTTCATGGATTAATAATGTTCACTTTCATATTTCTAGAGGAATTGGAAGCAGATCTTTTTTTTTTCTTGTTTGATCAACGTTCCCTTCGAATCAATTAATTTTCTGATGGTATACGTGCTGATATTCATGCATTGTCGATGGGTTTAACCGGTGTCATTGTTTGAATTCAGAATTATCTCTCTAATTCATTGCGTCCAAATAGACCTATTCTAAAGTTTTTCATTGTGTCTACTGTATTAGAATTTTCAGATATACAGGAGTACGTAAATTACACTGTTCATTGCTGAAAATATCAGAAATATTGTTGATATCTAACTGACTTGCCACTAATGAGGACACAATCTTTAAGATGTAAAGTACACCATCTGTGTCAAAACCAGTGCCATGTAATTTGAAGGTTGTGGCAGTCCATGATTAATGAAATCTTGAAGTACATTGAAAAGTTTGGAGAGTGCAATTGTTTCTAGAATCTTGACAAATGATATGCTCCAGAAATACAGAGATCTGGTGCTAGCAGAATAGGTGAATTTGCTTGGTTTATTAGATTTTTCTGTTGCTAATCACATACCTGCTTCATACTGTGAGGAATAAGAACGTTTCTGTTACTCTATGGAAAAATAGTATGAATTGTCTTGGGGAGTCAAGTATAGTGGTGCATCTAAAAAGGATCTCTGGAGGAAGGAGCAGCCATATCTAAAGTATGGTTTGAGAGAATATATAATTGCACAGATTTTGCTAAAAGGTGTGTTTAATTGAACTGTATCGTGAAAGGGCATGTAGCCTAGTGGTTGCAGTGACCTGAGTAGCACCCTGAGTTCAAATCTCCATAGGAGCGAATTTCAGATTGGATTATTTGAGAGCTAAGTTCCCTATTCGATAGGCTAAGTTCCTAATTTAAAAAAACTATATATATCCGGTTGGATATAGAGGCCGGGTAAAAATACCCTTCTCTAAAAAAGATAAAAAAAAATTGAACTGTATCAGTGCATATATTTCCTAATTGCGGATATTAGTTGTATAAATATGCATATAATTCTTGTTATAAATCTACATGAAACACTGTAATAAAAGATTGAACAAAAGTGCAAAACTTAACTTTCTTAATTTTGTCCTGTCACTCAACCTGGTATTATTCATTGTATATTTAGAGCTGTATTATAAGCTCCCTGACAAGCCATATGTTTTTTTTCATCCATTGCATATTTGCATAACAAAATTCGCATAGCTGTTGATTTGCAATTGCACTCAGTGATGGCAACTTGGTAGGACTCGACTCCATGGATTTACTACTCTCTATGGATCAATAATACAGAACGAGGTTTTCGTGGACAGAGGGATCACTTGCACTCCACCACACCAATAAGTTTTTAACTAACATTTTGCTTTTTTTATATTTTATTTTTTTAGAGAATGGTATTTTTTACCCGGCCTCTACATCCAACTGGATATATACGGCTTGCTGCAAGTTAGTCCCTTCAAAAGAAGTGCATGCTTGGTTCATAGACATTAATCGGCTTATGGAAGTTTAAAGGTACATTAAGAATATGAAGATGCATTATTTAGTAGGTAGCTATGAGCCATATATATATTGCTTTGAGTTGGCTAGAATTAGATGTCATTTCTATATATACTGTTAAGGTCATCTTATCGGTTTTAACCTGTGGTTTATATCTTCTAAAATCCTGATCATGCCCATATTATATCCTGTAATTGAAGCGTTTTCTTCAGATATATCACCTGTCTCAAGAAACTTCAGTTCAATTATTTGCCTTCGACTTTATCTCTCTCTATAATATGTCATCGACTTTATCAAATTTTTATATAATATGCTATTGGGGGTGGATACTTTTCAAAAAACACCTAAAATGCCCTTCGAACATATAAGGGTCGACAATTGATTGACATACTAGAAGTATCGAAAAATATGAAAATGTTCACATAGCATTCGCACATAATATAGAAGTCTATGTATATTTCAAGATTTTCAATTTGCAAAATGAAATTTATGTTTCATATGCTAATAGAATATTCTTGTATTGATGCTCTTTACGTAAATCATCCTTCATATGCTACATAAAATTATTTTTCTAATCCAGCTATCTTTTGTGTATGTGGTTCCTCTTTCACATGCCACATAAAAATAGTTTTTCAAAAGAAATCATGACAGAAAATCTTAAAATATATACACAAACTTTTATATTGTGTAAGAAAGCTAACAAAAACTTTTATACTTTTTTGAAACTTCTAATTAGTCAATCAATTGTGAAAGAGAATGGCTTGAAGGAAATTTTAGGCATTTTTTGAGAAGTACCCACCCCAGTGGTATATTCTAGAAAAAAATTACAAAGTCGGTGGCTTATTATAGAGGGAGACAAAGTCGATGGCAAATTGTTGAACTAGTATAAAAAATTAGGGGTATATAATAGATTCTCTCATTTTTATAATGATTTATAATTTGAATAATTAAACAAAATATTGGTCATTGTAGGAAAATTAAGCCAAAAATTAGCACCAAGTATACTATCATTTTGTATCAATACAGTAATGAAGGCACTATTCTTCAGTGTGAAATATTTAGAATTACAGGGGTATCGTCCATTGTACTTAAGGCTTACGAATTTAGTTGTGCTCAGTAATTGTGAAAGTCCCTTGCTATTTTTTTCCCCTTATTTATGAATAATGTCAGTTATACTCATTCAAGAATGTATATATGACATGTTAGGCATGATTTTCTTCCCAAAGATATTATTCTTTAGAGTATACAAAATCAGTTGGATAGTGAAAATTTTGATGCTCTTGCCTTAGCTGCCCTTTTTCTCTAGGTGTTGATTACTGAATTTAGAAATGGCTTAGAGTTGACGCTGTTTGATAACGGCTATTTTTTTTAATGGTAGAACACTCATGTTATGTGTTGCGAAAACGATTCTAGTCATGTAGCTGTATATGAAGCTTCTAATGTACAATTGTTAGCGACACGGTGGCAAGTCCCAACCCAGCCGCCACCCTCCCCTCATCCGCCTCGCCAGCAGCCACCGGCAAAGCTGGGCAGCAGTGTGGCCTTCTAGCTCGCTCCAAGACCCGGTGGCTGGGGCATCAACGGGACACGGGCGGAGGGGCCGCGATGTGTCGACGACGGGTTCTGACGCCGTTTGGGCTGGACACGGCCGATCCGGTGCTGACGGAGGTAGAATTGGCCCCCTCGCGACCGGATCGAGAGGGAGCACACCGGCCGCGCCGCATTCAGGACCGGCGGAGGAGGTCATGGTGTCGGTGGAGGAGATCATGGCACCGGCAGAGGAGACCATGGCGTGCTCGCGCGGAGGAGGCGCGGGATGGCCAGGTTCGGCTCCTCCGAGAAGGACGAGGTGGTGAGGAGGCCGTGGAGGTGCGGGCAGCCTGGGAGAAGCAGGCGGCACAGCTGGTGGCGACGGTAGGCCGGCATGGCGCGAGATGCGTGGCGGCAGCAACGTGAGGCTGGCGTGGCGTGAGATGCGCGGCCGGAGGCAGCGGGAAGTCAGCGCGGTGCGAGTTGCGCAGCCGGCGGCGGAAGGTCCGTGCGGCGCGAGGATGCGCGTAGGAGGCCGGTCTGGCGTGGAGGCACAGCCGACGCCGGTGGGAGGCCGGCGCAAGACAGGGAGGCTGACCTAGCCAACGCCACGGAAGGACGCAACGATGGCAGGGAGGCCAGAGTGGCGAGTGTGCCATAGAGGCATGCGGTGGCTGTCCGGCGGGAGGGCATCGGGTCAGCGGTGTCCTCACGCTGATGGCGGATGGTCGGTAGTGGAGCAATGGAGCAATTAGTTGTGGATAGACAGTGACAGGCGACAGCCGCAAAACCTAGCTCGGTGTTAGTTGTTCCAAAAAACAAAAATAATACCTATGAACTTGAGGAGCAATTGATTATTTCTTAGAGGACGTAGGATAAATATTGACAAAAAAAAATCTCTTGCCCAGAGAAATATCAAGATAGAACCCGTGCTTACATCAAATCCAATTTAACTTGAAAACCTACCTTTGCTCAAAATAGCATATGAAATCTAACAATTAAACTGAAGTATATACACGTACTAAAATCACGTGTTAGTTTGAACATATACTACAATAACAAGTAACAGATGTTCACATATAACAAACCAATCAAATGAAATCGCTACATTTTCATATGAATTTTAGGTTTACAATGAATCTACCATAGTCCAAGAATGAGTTAGTACAACTTAATTATCACGAATCGAGTTCTCATACTTCACAACCATCGATCAAAACAATCTGGTGTGCACAACAATATTGTCAGGAATAAATATATAGTACTAATTAAAAATACTCAAAGTCAGTGTAGGACTCGCCGGTGCTCGAGTTGGCCGCGCCGCCACCATCCGCCGCGGCGGGGGCGGCGGCGGCGGCGGCGTTCTCCGGCGGCTTCTTGTCCTTGGGAGTGGTGGCGGACGCGGCGGCGGCGTACTGCCGGAAGTCGACCGGCTCCGGCACCGACGGCGGCGTGAGGCTCCTGACGAGCGCCCAGTTGACGCCGTCGAAGAAGGGGTGCTGCTTGATCTCGGTGGCGCCCCTGGTGAAGGCGATCCGCTTGTGGGGCTCCTTGACGAGCAGGCCGCGGATGAGGTCACGCGCGACGGCGCTGGCGCCGCCGTCGGAGGGGAAGCGGAGCGGCTGCTCGATGACGTTGCAGAGCGTGGCGCGGTTGCCGGCGCCCTTGAACGGGGTGGCGCCGTGGATGAGCTCGTAGAGGAAGATTCCCAGCGTCCACCAGTCGACGGCGCTGCCGTGGCCCTCGCCGCGGATGATCTCCGGGGCCAGGTACTCGTGCGTGCCCACGAACGACATGGACCGCGCCTCCGTCGGCTCCGCGTTGAACTCCACCGCCGCCGCGCCGTTGAGCAGCAGGCCCATGTCGCTCTTGGACGCCTTGCGGCTGCGCCGCGGCAGGATGCGCGGGAAGAAGGAGGAGGGCTGGATGCAGCCCTGGTTCGCCGGCATGCTCTCGCCGCCGTCGATGGCGTCTCCTCTGCTGCCTATGCCGCCGCCGCTGCCGGTGGCGTGGACGGAGGAGGACTTGACGAGGGTGGGGCAGACGGTGCAGCGGAGGGAGAGGTCGAAGTCGGAGAGCATGATGTGGCCGTCGTCCCTCACCAGGACGTTCTCCGGCTTGAGGTCCCTGTACACGATCCCCAGCATGTGCAGGTACTCCAGCGCCAGTAGCACCTCTGCCACGTAAAACCTGACGACGCATCAAAGTTCAAATTTTCCCACGTAAGTTTCATATTTTTTTTAGATCAAATTATCGGACGCAAGTTTCAATTTTCAGATCAAATCTACAATAGAATGATGATACATGAGGTACAGGCAATAGATATATTTTGTTGTCAATCGTGATACATGACTATAGATAAATGTACCAAAATTTATACTAGAAAATAGTGTGCTTCATGGTACATCCTCGAGCGTAGGAAAATCACTCGTTGATTTTTCAAGCAACTAATAAGGTTAGTATTGTGCAAATTCCTTCTAAAATTATTCTGCAAATTTTAGCACCTCCTGCCAGGGCTGGAAATTTCCCCTACAATACAATATTACTTCGGCTGAAATTTTTAAACTTTTCAATTTTTTCATTAATTTTAGTAATATTTATTTAAATTCAACTAAATTTTGGAAATTTCGGTGACCTCCGATCAAAAGGGGTTAACCGATGGAGTGAACCCTGCCTCCTGGTACCAAAGTTACTGCTGTCTAAATTTGTTCAAACTTGACGGAGGTTAATTTCCTCAAACTGCTCCAAGCTCCGTGGAAACAATTTGTTAAAATTCCGAAGTGGAACCTGACCTGGCGGCGGGCTCGGAGAAGTGCTTGGAGGGCTGCTTCTGCCGGAGGGAATGGAGGTTGCCGCCGGAGCAGTACTCCATGACGAGGCAGTAGAACTTGTCGGTCTCGAAGTGGGTGTAGAGCGTGGGGAGGAAGGGGTGGTCGAGGAGGCCCAGGATCTCGCGCTCCGTCTCCGCGCGCGCCATCTTGTTCCGGCTCGCGATCGACGCCTTGTCCATCACCTTCATGGCGAAGAAGGCCGACGTGCCGCGGAGCTCCACCAGGTACACGCTCCCGATGTCGCCGTACCCCAGCCGCTTCAGCAGCCGGAAGTGCGCCAGGCTCAGCGGCGCCGGCGCGTCGCGCGCCGTCGCCGCCTGGACCGCCTCCCACCGGCTGTCCCCGCCGGTGTGCCGCTTCACGTTCTGCCCCGACGCCGACACCGACGCCGTCGACGCCGATGTCGTCAGCACCGTTGGCGCCGCCGCGGCGCCGGTGCTGCTGCTCTCCAGGCTGTTGCTCCGTGTGCTGCCGCTGCTGATGCTGTCCAGGCTGCCGTTGCTGACGGCCTCGCCACGGTTTGTTCCTGCTGTTGCTGCTGCTGCGGTCGTCGTCACCAGCGCCGCCGTCGTCTCGGGCCTCTGCGGCGGCGGGTTCGCCGTCTTGTCGGAGTGATGATTCGGCTTGTTCTTGGGCTTCGATTTCTTGTCTGGAGATGGTTTGGAGGGTGCTGATCGAATGCTGAATTGATCATCTTCTTCAAAGCTGGTTCGATTCTGTTCTGTGCTATTTTTATGAGGGCTGAAATCCATGCCGTCCTCCATCGTTGTTAGTTTATTGAAAGCTTGAGTTTCTAGGTAATCTGAAACTTCACAGGGCAGAATGTCAAAATTTGATAGGTAATTTGAGTGAAAGTGTAAAAACTGGAAAATGAAAAAAAAATTACAATGCAGGTAAAACTGAAGAAGAAAACGAGTCTTGGAGTTTTACTCTACTTTTGGTTGGAATTTTAGAAGAAGAATCGAAGCTTAATCTTTTGTTCTTCTTTCCGGATCTGTTAAACTTAGTTTTTTTTCCCATGTAATGGCAAAATCTTACGTACTCGTGACTTTGTTTGGCTGTATATACCCCACAAAGGTGCAGAGGCCGGATTTAATCTAATCTATTTTTTTTAAAAAAAAGGAAAAACTTAAATTAGGAGTAGTCTTAGTATAATTTTATCACCGGGATGAAATTGTCTGAGATTAAGAAAGCTTCATTTATCAAAAAGAAATGAAAAAAAATGTTCTGCTACTCTCAGGCCTCCTTGACAAGTTGCTAGCCACTTGATGAACAGTTTAGGTTGATTGTGCTTATTCTTTGTTTATTGAAATCTAAAATGAATTTGAAACTGAACATTTAGCAAGCTTTTACAACTTTAAATGTATTAAACTCATAATTTCGAAACTTTTAGGTCATTTGCACTATGGTGAATCCTGTAAGGGATGTTGAAATTGCATTGCGCTAAGACTACTCATTATGGAGGAAATTCTGAAAGGCTATGGCTATCAACATCAAATAAAACCGGTACCACAGCATGGGGAACCTCATTATCAGAAGAAAACAACTTGAAGATCAGATAGGGAAATACAAACCTGGAATCAAATCTTGATAAGGGCTTCAGACAACAAATAATCTGAACAATGCTTCATGTCATACCAGGAAAATCAAAGCTGAAAGGGAATGATCAAACAAAATTAAGGAAAAGGGTCTCTTATTCGTCTTGCCATGCTTGAAAGCTGCAATTGGCAGCAAAACAGGGGAATGATTGCTTTGTTGGGAGGAAAAGAGTAAAAATGCGTGCAGACTTCGCGTTGAATGGTTCGTGGGGTTGAGAGAATAATCCGTTAGGATGGAGGGCATGAATGGACCAAGAATGCACTTCTAAGTTTAGTGCAAAACAAGGGAGTTATTCTGGGTCATCCATGGTCTCTCCCTATTCTTGTTCTGGTTGGGTCTTCCGTTACAGAGTTGATTCGAAACGTGAGGAATTGTCAATTGTGCATGAATTTTGGGTGACCCATGGAAACATAGGTTAGCTACAGTAAAAAATTTGATCATATACCTTCTCCTTATATCTCAATTGAGGAAGGAGTCTCAGCGACCTCACATGACCTCACATGTCAACTTTTTTAAAATCTAAACGGAGGTTATATGATCCAAATCTCCCAAGAAGGTTAACTAGAAACAATTCCCCTCCATGCGTTGGTCCAACGACTTAGACATGATATATTTTGGTTGTAATAATCCAGTTTTACTTAAACTTGAGTTTTGTCCTGGTTTTACGAGAAATTACTACTCCCTTTGTTTCATATTATAATTCGTTTTGACTTTTTTTTTATAGTCAACTTTTTTAAGTTTGATCAGTCTGTAGAAAAATATAGAAATATTTTCAACACAAAACAAATGTATTATCAATATATATTGCATATTAGTTTTAATGAAACTAATTAGGTATTATAAATGTTGCTAAATTTTTCTATAAACTAATTAGGAAATAGGTCAAAACGACTTATAATAAGAAACAGAGGTAGTACATACCAATATTGGTCGTTCTGTTGTTCACTTACCGGTCAAGAGTATCAAAGGCCATCACAAGAGTTATCGATGCAGTTATGTTCAAAAAATCCTTTCCTGGTTGAACAACTGTCTCCAGAGTACAGACATCAGTGCTGATATCTTTTTGGTTGATCCTTCTTGTTCAAGTTCTTGACCTCTTTCATTTCCTTGTTGTGACTTGTGAGCCTTCTCTCTTTCATGCCTGGAACCTGGCTAATTCAGAGAGGCAGCATTATCCAGCCCTTCTTGTTTTTCTCCATCTTCCTTCTAATATACCCAATATGCAGAGAGATTCCAAGAATAATGCATCAATGATCATGTCGTTTTCATCCCTATAATCATGCGATGATAGAATACCTAAGGGTAAACTGTCACATTGCTACAGCTTGCTTTCTTGCTGGTTACTGCCGCCATTGATTGTGCAAGCGAAATCCAACTACAATATTGCAGAAAAACCACTTTTGATCACTTCCATTCCACACCTGGTGGCTGGTGTTACCATGAGCCATTTTCCATCTCAGCTGAAGAAGTACGATGCAAGGTAGGCTTTTAGCATTCTTTTAGAAAAGTAGCCATGATGGCTCCAACCACCATAACCACCATTGCAAACTACCCAGCTTTTCTCTTCCTCCCACTCAAAGCATCAGTCCAGAAATATAGAATCAATCATCATGCAACAACTCCACATGAGCCCATTACTTCATCCCAACAGTAGGGTTCATTGCTCCTATGATCTTATTGTAACATCCTCTACCTCTAGCTGGTAGTTGCTCCTTTCTCTACATCAACATAGATGGCTGTGCCAAGGCGAGTTCATGTCGTCTTGTTTGTGTACATCACAGTGATCCTCACTGCAGTGGCCGTCCATGCACAGAGGGATACCTGTGGTGCCGAGCTGAACACTTTCCTTCCCGCGCCTTTCAATTCATCCGCGCTCCTCTGCAAATCAGTCTGGAACAGCTTCATACTCCGGGTAACATTCCTTATCTAGCCAAAGTTATCATCTGTAAAAGAAAAATGAATTCAAAAAAGATTGTTGTAGCTTCCTAACATAGATATTCCTGACTTATTGTCAAATGTTAATCACAATTTTTACCATCAAATGTAGAGAAAAAGGCAAGAATCAGCAAAGTTCTAGTATGCTTAGTTATAATAAAAGTATCAGTGCCTCTTAATGGTACAAAGGTTGTCTCTCTGCATTGTGCATACATTTGTATCTGAATCCATAATCCTAATCGATCATCATCACTTTTGCTGGAATGACCGAAGGAGGTCATTCAATGTAATTAAGATAGGAAGAAAAATGTTACAAGAAAAGTTTTACATCGACAGCTGGCTGTCGAGGAAGGATGTGCACCAGAGCACACGCCCCGAACCATATGCCAACCGCCCAAACACACGCTACAGAGAGGGAAGCCAAGCACCGAACCGGCCATCGCTATGCGAGACCGATCGCCACCGGGCCAACAACACCACCACGACACGAATACTCTAAAACGACGCCTTCACGAGGGTTGCGACGCCGAAAGACGCCGTCGTCATCCGTCCAAGGAATTGGACAAGGTTTTCACCCAGAGCTCCTTGCCGAGGGAGGATGGGTACCTCAACAGTGCCCTCAGGAGGGTTACCACGCCTGAAGGCGAAGTCACTGTTGGCCCAAAGAAATTGGGCTAAGCTTTCGCTCAGAACCCCCTACCGCCGTGGTCCGTCGCCCAATCCGAAACCACCATCTAAACATCGGCGGCACATGGCTTCCGCCACACTTGACCGACGCCCCTCCGCTGGCCAGCTTCCAGTCCTGCCAACAACAGGACTGCCACCACACAGCACCGACGCCCCACCATCGACTGACTTCAACGAACCTCCATCCCTGAGAACTGGCCCAGGACCCTTCCGATCCACCACCCGCCAGTCTCCTCGCCAATTCTGCCCAAAGGAGAACCCTGGACTGGGTGGCATTGCTTCAGCAACCTGGGCTTCCCCCGTTGACAAGCTGCCGCCTCAATCTAACCTAGAAACTCCCCACAAAGAAGGGGAGGAGCTCCAAGAAGGGCGAGGGTGCCGACCGGCAACGAGGAAGACGACCCACTGCCGCCAGCTCCCTTTGCACTACCATCTAGGCCTGCGCCGACGCCGGAAACGCTGCCGCTCCGTCTCCGGCGCCACCTTTGTCCAGCCTCCTTGCCTCACCTAGCCACGCATAGGCCACCACGGCGACGAGGGAGCTCAGCCGCATTGCTCAGCGCTGGTGATAGCCACCCCGCACACGCCTGGCCGTACGCGTGCTGCCGGCCGCCGCAGCGCCTCCACCACGGTGCTGGCCTCCGCAGCCGCCAGCCTCCGCCGTCGCCGGCCAGCCACCTCCGCACGAGCTCCGCCGCTGCACAGCGGAAGCCACCTCCGCGCGCCTCCGTCGGCCGCCGTCGCCGCGAGCTGCCACCACCTCCCCTCGCCGGCCGCAGCCGACGCGCTGCCCGCCTCCACTGGCAGCCGGACGCAGAGCACCGTCATCGGCCACATCCGCGCCCGGGGGGGTCGGATCCGTCTCCGGCGTGCCCGGATCCGTCGCAGCCACCTCCATCGACCGCCGCCTCCGTCGACCACCGCCCCGTCGACGCTGCTCCGCCTCCAACGCCGAGGAAGGGCTCCCCGAGGATGTTCTCCCCGCCGCCGCCTTCCCGGCCGGCCGCGCGGTTTCCGGCGGCTGGCTCCGGCGGCGGCGAGGCGGCTAGAGGCCGGCGAGGTGGCGGCGCGGGCGGCTAGGGTTTTCTCCCCCGAGCCGCCCGCGTGAGGGCGACGTGAGGGTCACCATCGATCATCATCACACAACTTTAGTACCATATATGTGCTGAATGAAAGCAGGATAGAAATAAATTGGCATTTTTGTTATCAACATAGCTATTGTTAGGTTCCTTGAATACTGAAAGTTCATACTTTGATCTTCAGATAATGGTGAGTAATTTCTTCTGAATGCTCTTCAATTACAAAATAAAAAATTAAGTTACTCTGATACTCAAATTTTTACATGGTTACTTTTTTCTTTGTTGTGCATTGTGAACCCCTGTTAGTAACTTATAACCATTGAAATATCTTATACAAATGGTAGTCAGTGAGCAAGTCAGTCAAAAAATAATCTCCATATATGTTCCAGCAAATACTTGGGCTGCCCAAGTCCGTTAGTTCTTGTCCCTTGCACATGTTCACACTAGTCCAAGATGTGAATCCGATCTTGTACTTTGGTTTTCTCTTCCCTCGTTTCACAGACTAGTACCACGGCCACCAAGAAAATAGTGGAAAGCAGAACTATTGATCTTTAAATTGTGCAAACTTACTCTGCAGAAGATATCTGCGGGAGAATTAAAATTGAACACTTTGAAAGTATAATATATAGCCACAGGTAATGAATTGAAAATTCTGAAAGCATTTTCTAAGAAACAAATTTAGAGAGAAAGATATTGTACTAGACAGGAATATCCAAAAATGTTCAGATATTGAACATTTCATTCTCAAAGAGAAGTATCTGACTGTCATTACTGAAAAACATATTACGAAACATGCACATGTTTCTAGGAAAAAAATTACTGGCCATGTAAAATTTGATATTATTCTTCTTTCAACATCAATATTTGTTTATTTTAAACAAATACTGTAAAGTGCTATGTTCCGCTTTCTTCATAATAAAAAGTCGCCAAATCTATTCTTAGTTCATGTGGTCTCTGCACATCTTGCAGTATTCAAAATTGAAGAGTGAAGATAACATCACCAGCATTGTACTTTCAGCACCCTATTCATCTGGATGGGTTGGGATTGGTTTCTCAAATGACGGAAAGATGGTTGGGTCAAGTGCTATGGTTGGCTGGATTGATAATCAAGGGAGAGCATACATCAAGCAATACTACTTAAGTAATCAGACTAGCTCAGGAGTTAAAGTAGATGAAGGCAAGTTGCTCACAACAGACGTTCCTTCTGCAGCTGTGCTCTATGGAGACAATATTTACTTAGTATTTCAAGTCAAATTCCCTCTTCACATTGCTCGACAGTCCGTAATTTTGGCTTTTTCGAAGATATCACCAAATAAGTTCCACCTCGCAGAACATGATGACAAAACGACTCTGTCTTTTGACTTCTCATCAGGTACAGTTATGTTCTAGCACAACTGAATTGGTTTTCCATTGGAGTTTTGTTTTTATGCTTCATTGGTAACAGACTAATGGTACATGCTATGTTGGAGTATTGAACGCAGCCCAAGAATCAACTACCCTGTACCTAATTCCACTCCACTGGAGATTGATAATATCTAGTATGCCAATATAAATATGTTTCAGCTCAAAAGGATGCTAAACTGCTTGAGCATGCTCTGTTACGATTAAAGAAATACAATTATGAAGATTAATTTTCCTACATTGTGTATCTGGCGCCCCCACAAAACAGAAAATATTAGAAAAGTTAACCAAAAACCGGGCATTTGCATTTCTGAATATTACCTACATATGTAAATACGATTTAAATTCTGATCTCAGAAGGATGCATTAGACTTTTTTTTTGGGAATACACAGGGAGCGCATCTTTGTATTAAGGGGAATATGCATTAGACTTTTGAGACCGCTGAACAGAATCTGATCAGTGATACCTGAAGATAACGCCAGAAAAATAGAAGTAGAAAAATTAGCAGAGACAATTTTAGCCCCACTTGGAATGTCACAAGAAATTTGCAGGAACTTGAACTCCATCTGGAATGCAGGAATTTGAACTCCATCACAGGAAACCGTTGTTCTACAGGAGTGGAGTAATTTTTACATGCAATAAATGGGGCCTTCACATAAATGGCTAAATTCCTGGGGTGTTTGATAGCAGACAGCAAAGGAATAGGGTATGTATTGAGCAGTTGAGAAGAGGGTGATTATTGGATATAAAACCAAGTCTCTAAAAATTGTTGACATTTGTATTGGATAACATGAAAAAACATCCCAGCTAATACATTATGCAATGCATACAGTGAAAAAAATCGATCGATCTAGCTGAATCAGTTACCTGATTGTCACAAAGACAATCTCATTAAATAATAAGGTTCAGCCAATGTTTGTTAGAACTCGTAAAAGAAGAATGTTTACCAGATCAACTATATGGTGATACCACATCATAACATAAACATTTAAAAAACACTTTCTACATTCAACTGATTTTGTAGAAGTAATAAAATATTAGCACCATACATCAGCAAAAGTTCAACATAAAAGATAGTACAAGTGCAAGCCTTATCTGTTTTTCACATCATTTTTTACTGCAATGTAAATTTTCTTTTAGAAAATGTTTTTTCAATACTACCTGAACCTAACTTTTTTCTACGCAGGTGATTCTGTTAGTACTTATTATCCATACCAATTGAAGAGGAACCATGGTGCATTTGCAATTTTTGGCTGGGGTGTTCTGGTACCACTGGGAGCAATTGCTGCTCGTTATCTCAGACATAAGGACCCACTTTGGTATTACCTTCATGTCCTCGTGCAATTTCTTGGTTACATCATTGGGTTTGCGGGTGTTGTTTCTGGCATTGCATTGTACAACAGGACCTATTCAAATTTTACTACGCATAGAAGCCTTGGCATTTCAGTTCTTGCTCTCGGTTCTCTTCAGGTTAGTATGATCATGCAACTAATTTTGCCATCCTGACTGCTAATGCCTATCATTTGATTCATTTCTGTTATGTCTGAAGCCATTGGATGTACTACATGTTACAGGTTATTGCATTTTTCCTTCATCCTAATAAGGATTCTCAGGTGCGGAAATGTTGGAACCAGTACCACCATTGGTTAGGTAGGATTTGTATTTTCTTGGCAGCCATTAACATTGTTCTTGGTATTGAGTTAAGTGACACCAACATCTCATGGAAAGTGATTTATGGAGCTATAATATCTGTTATGATAATCAGTACCACATTTCTGGAGGTCATGATGTGCACTAAGTTGCCCAAGGAAGGCACATGTAACGGTGGACTCCAAATGCCAACTCATCATCCCAATTCTTAAAAATAGAGATGTTAACACAATTGATTTTTAACCTTGTTTCTGATATGATCTCAATTCTTTTAGTTTTTGGTGATTTTGTTTACTGGTTTGGGAAATAGGCAGCCTTCTAGAACCATTTTTGTTGATACATGCCAATGTGTTTTTGATAGTTTTCCTCCTGTAATGAAGAAGAGTGTTTTTTTTTAGAAATCAGTTTCTTCACTCTATGGTTAACAACAACTTAACATTCTAACCATAATTGTTAGAGACTGCACTCGTTCAATCTATAGTAAGTTCTTAATTTGACATGAGCATGTCATTTTCTGATCAATGAAAAAGAAATCTCAAGTTGATTGTACAATATTTTTTCCTTAAACACTTTCACATCATAACAGGAGTCCATTAAGAAGTTATGCATGAATTAAACTAAAGTTCTTTCCAGATTCAAGAACAATGTGGGTTAAAGGATGCGTATTTAAGATTCAGAACTTTGTCATTAATGGCCATGTTCCAAGATTGGGAACTACAAATTAGGTTGGAAGCATGACCCCTAACCAAGCCGCCTGTGATGAGGCGATGCGGTGATCAGTGAGCATCTGCAACACGAAACCATAACTAACAAACGGATTTGACGAATATTGGTATCGGTTACCAGGTAGCAGTGAATGATACTACTATTAAATTGCTAAATTATCTTTTGAGCAAAAATTATAATAATAATATTGTTTAACAACGCATCTTCCAAATTAAAATTGTCAGATCACCAATCGGCAGACTAGAAGGGTCTCTCACGCAACATGAATTCGGCTTCCGATACTCGCAGAATATATGCATATGGTACGAGAAACGCTCCAAAAAATATTGGAGATAAGTCACTTGGAGAAAGAGAGAGAGAGAAAGAGAGAGGGGCACTCACAGCTATAGGACTAGGAGAGAGGGGTGCCTCCTTCCTTCCTTCCATGCGGCTGCGAAAGTGGGAGGCTCGTGCAAATCAACGAGATATCCAACGCTTTGTTTCATCACTGGGAACAAGAATCGTATAACAAGAGTTAGGGGAAAATCCAAATACCCGCCTACAATTCATTACTTTTTCTGCTTTCTACTCTCCTCCCTACAACTCAATATTGTTCAAAGGATTTCCCACCACTATTCAATTTTCACGATTTTTCGTGATGCCCTCAATTTCTCGTTATCGTGGGCCTTCAACACATCCCACGGGGTAAGTTGCCTCGTACCATCTTGGTGGCAAAAGCGTGCACACCTCCTTTCATTTTCCATCTTTCGCAAGCTTAAATTCCGCAATCGCCACTTTTCAAATTGGAAAGTGGAAGAAGATCCGTGTGCTTTTGCCATCAAGTTGGCACGAGGCAATTGTGCCTGCAAGTCACCATTAAGGCCCACGATAACAAGAAATAGAGTGTATTAGTAGAAATCGTGAAAACTAAATAGGGATGGGAAACTGAAAGAGAAATTAACTTACGTGGAGTGTTTTGAACAATAATAGAATTGTAGAGGGAAGAGTAGAAAGAGTAGTGACTTATACGTGTATTTGGATTTAACCCCAAGAGTAAATGTCCCGTTCCCGTTCTCGGTAGGTTTCCGAATATATGTTATCGAGGACGTCACTCCTCTCAAGTCTCAACCTTCTAAACCATAGTATGTTTTTAAGTGTTAAACGGGATGCAACATCCTAACGAGTTAACATGGATCCATATAGTCGTACAAAAATGAAAACTAAAATTAAAAAAAAAAAGATCCAAACAATTATTCTACCACATGGAAACAAAGGTTGTTCAGGTCAAAGGAATAGCTACAGTCAAGTTCATCCCACTGAGAAGGACAAATATATTCATACTTCACTTGCCCTCAGGCATTTATCTCTTATCCAGCATATCCATTTTGTTTACAGTAACACGGTAAAATCATATCAAACAAGCTTGGAGCAAGCAAAATGGATAGAGTAGGAAAGGACTAGCAGCTTTATGCACTGTGGTTGTAAGCAAGCCGCCGCCAGAGAAATGCACTTGCCGTGCATACACAAATGAGGCCAACTTGATGTACAGCTCTACCACTTCATCTACAATGTACAATCTACCAATCTGCTAACACAAGGGCGCGTGGCGTGTGCTTGCCTTGCGCATGAGCAATCTGTACAAATCAGCCTACCATTCGGGGCTACTGCAAGACTTCAGGGAGTAACTGGAGTTAATCAGGCTTGTAGCTGCTTGGATCTTCGAAAAACTCTGCTGGAATTGATGGTGGAGAGTACTTCTTTGCTACGAATTTGTACTGAGAACAAATAGATAGGTGATAGAAACAATTTATTACCAAATAGAAGTAAATGCGTTCCAGCAACAATGGCCTTATTTTGACTTCACTCACCTTGTGTTGACTGTATTTTTCTCTAACTGCTCGAAGGTTGCCTCCAGGGCCAACCAAGAAAAGCCGGTGTAGTCCTTTTGCACAATTGCATAGGTCGGATGGTTTGTATTGTGTGTAGAATGAAAGTGTTGAATTCTGTTTCCAATTTAAGAGAGAAAGAAATCAATACATTTAGTCTAGTTTGCAGAATAGCAATAAAATCTGCAAAGTTTAAAGCATTATACCCAAGGATTCTCTGTTGGCTTAAGGATAAACTTCGCCAAGAAAATAGAAGACGCAGCTATAAGTGACGGTACATAGCAAATTAAGCTGTACTCCAGAAGTGATAGCTCCGCAATGTAATTAGCTAGGAACTCAAGATGCAAAACTGGAGCCTGCAGAAGGAAAGGTTGATTGAGTAAGCTACATGAGAATGCAGGAGTGGCAGAGTCTGTAAGCTATTGAAGAAAACAAGTACCTCATGGCATACTTGAGCAGCTCGTAGAAATCTCCTATTGTGGAACCATGAACAATATTTGGTATTAGTAACTATAGGCATGATAATAATCATTGTTGTAACAGAAAATACTACCTCAAAAAGCATTTTGTTGTAGGTGCAGTCATCTCAAACTTCAAGTATTTCAGGACAGAAGCTTCCATTTTCAAAACCTGTTCGTTAGAAGATGAGAATAAGAGACAAGGAAATAAAAAGAACAAAGCCCAATCTATACTGGGACACAGACCTCATCCTTAGTGTATGTATTGTCAGAAATATAGCAGAGCTCTTCTACTTGGGGTGGGCATATCTCTTCATACTTACTGAAATTTGACCATATATAAACTGAATCAGAATAAAACATAAAAAAGAAGATAAAAGAAAAACAAGAGAACATAAACAGAAGCAAATGGGATCTTACGAAGCTATAAGCAGGCAAGCGACACCAAGTAATTGCATTTTCCGCCGATTGATCACCTTGCTCGAGAGATACCGGTCAATGTAATTGACTGTGAGGTATAAGGTTTCAGGTACAAGCCGATATTCTTCTGTGACCTGAATTGGTACGAGTCATGAATGTAATAGAAATTAAATGGATCATTTGCTGTGCCTCTAGCTTCTGAACCCTGTTTTTATCCTGAAATAGAGTAGCTTACTTCCACAAGCCAGTCTATTAACACTGCCCTCATGCTTGTGTCAATGTTCTTCTGAATGGTTTCCACAAAATCTGTTGAAGGCCTTTTCTTGGTCTGCTAAAATGCAGCATCACAGCACAACAGCAACAAACATAATATCAGATTCTTTTGTGAGCAAAACAAACAGGGAATAACCAAGTCAGTGATGCTACGTAGCATTATATTTTACAATAAGAATATGCTAAGCAAGAAGCTAAATCGGAAAGCAGACAAGGATGACGCAATGCATCACTCTATACAGGTGACGGAATATGGCATGTAAAAGAATCTATCACCTCAGCCACTCGCAAGTGCTTGTAAATGTCAAAAGCAAGAGTTGCACACAGCTGTGGATCCTCATGGTTGTTGTCAATGTCGACGATATAATCAATTTCTACTGAATTACAACCATGCTTCGTCCATTTGGATGCCACACCTGTAAACAAACCGCTAATCACCAATTCTTTCATAGGATGCACAAATGGCCAAAACAGAATTGCCAATTCCGGCAAGAAAACAAACCTGCAACATCCCTGTTGTCAGAAATATGAAGCTTATCATCTGCCAAATGTTGCAAGGAAGATACCACTTCGGAGTCCCCATCATCAAGGCAATCAATATCAAGGCTTTCCGTTGAATCACCAGTTGACATAGCATCTTCCTTAGACATAGAATTGTCAGATAGGCCGGGTGAACAGTCATGGTGCCCCACTGACGGCACAATGGTGGGCAGATAAGGGTTACAAGCTAATTCTTTCTGAAGGGTACTGCCTCGATGTGGTATTGCTTGATCAAACTGGCCAGAAGTTGGTTTTGGGACAGAACCCCCTTCTGTGTTCCAATTGCAAAGGCTTCCCAAAAATCAGGGGCGGATCCAACTTGGGACATGGGGGTTCAGTTGAACCCCCAAACTTTTGGGTGAACAAACAAACTGTTATTCCTTGAATTATTTAAGAGAGGTTTAAGGCTATCAAATTAAGGAGGAGGAGAAGATCTAGAAGAGAAGCGCAAGCAAATTCCAGTCCCGGTGGGGTGGGAGAGAGAGAGAGAGAGAGGAATCAGAAAGAGGACGCACCAGGATCCCCTCCCCTCCGCTGCGATGGAGATCGCCGCCCGGCCCTCCCCTGTTCAGCCGCGACTCGTCTTGGCGGCGGCGCAAGGAGGCAAGGAGCGGAGGAGACAACGAGAGGTACTCGACTACTCTGCCCTTATCTCAATATTTTTACTTACCTCTCCTTCCATCCTATTTTAGTATAGTTTTGTAAAGTTCACATCCAACGTTTAACATTTTATCTTATTTAAAAATTTGAGACGGACGGTCAAAAGTTTAACACGGATTTTCACGGCTGCACTTATTTGGGACAAGGTAGTATTTTAAAACTAGCTAGTGTTATTTCTTTATATAACTGGTGACCCATGTATCATCAATAGTTAGGAAAAAATTAAACGATTGTGTCGATAACAAATTCCTCGTACCACCAGCAACCGCTAACTGCCACTCTACGCACCGCCATCACTGCTCTTTCTCCATGAACCACCATCGTTCCTCTCCTTTGCCTTTACATGCGCAGCCTTAACCTCTAGTAACCGACAAGTCTTTTTCTCCTCCCCTATCGTGATGCGCACTATTGTTATCGTTGCCATTGAGGTCGGAGATATTGGGCTTGCAGGGACTTTGGAAGGCAGGAGCTGACCCGACGAAGAGCGAAGGCGCTATATCGGGCTCTTTCTTGATAGATCTATCGGTTATCCAACTGTCGTATGGAAAAAGAAAATGGAGAGAGAGAGAAAGAGAGAGAGAGTTAATGTGCGAAGTGATTACTGAGTCACCGGACTTGAAGATGGATAGAATATGGTGGTCCAAATTAAAATGTAAAGTTAGCTATTGTGTAAATGAAAATGGTTAAAGGATACCATTATATGAAAACTTTTAAGAATTTTTAAGAATACATAGTATGGATTGTAATTTACTCCCTTTGTCAAAAAAACGAATGTAGAACTGGTGTGACACATTCTAGTACAACAAATCTGAACATATGCATGCCTAGATTTGTTTTACTAGGATGTATCACATCCAGTCCTAGGTTAGTTTTTTATGGGACGAAGGGAGCACTTTTTTTTTTCTCTAGCACAATTAAAGATAATTGTCCATTACCCGATAGTCTCGTGATATGCTAAGTATGATTACACTGCTGTACTTAGCTATAACTAATAATCTCATGATATGTTGATGCATGACGATACAGACTTCTACTAACACAGGCTGATTAACTATGGTTAGATAGATTCCGCTAAAAGATGATAAAAATAATACCATCATTTTTGCTCAATAATAAAGCATTTGACTCTTTTCTCATTGTATTATATTGCCTCCGTTTTTTAATAGATGACACCGTTGACTTTTTCTCACATGTTTGACTATTTGTCTTATTCAAAAATTTTATGCGAATGTATAAGATATAAATCACACTTAAAGTACTATGAGTGATAAAACAACTCATAACAAAATTAATTATAATTATGTAAATTTTTTGAATAAGACGAGAGATCAAACATGTGAGAAAAAGTCAACGGCGTCATCTATTAAAAAACGGAGGTAGTATATGATAACTACATTAGTACGTATTTCTGTAATTCTTTCATATTGTTTTTTATTTTCTACATATATGTTAATTTGGACTAATATATTTCTCATAATTAAATAGATAATACATCATTTTTCCATATTTCTCCTATAAAATAAAATAGGGCATTTTATAATTTGAAAATTATATTATAAGTGTATGTAATTAATGTGTAAGATATGGACTTATAGTATAAGATTTAACTTTTTCTAAAAATGAATGCCGCATCATGGTAGATAGGTAGTTAACTGAACAACCATGAAAAATAGAGACAATCCATTGTGTGTCACTGATTTTGTCCCTGCTCTACAATATGTCATTGGGTTTGTCAAGTTCTAATATGGCATCGCATTTTGCTTAACTTCTATAATATACCATCGTCATCTAGTTAGCCTCCGTTAGCATTGTACAATTTTATTATACAGATTGTAAAACTTAAAGAATTTGAGATGGGCAATTTCTCTGCCTAGTTTATAATATGATATTTTGGAATTTTCGGCCAAATTTTGGAAATTTTTGTCCTAGGGATATTTCAATCATTAGTACAAAATTATACAGTACTAACAGAATCTAAATGGACGGCGATGGTATATTATAGAATTTAAGCAAAATACAATGACATGCTGTAGAACTTAACAAACTCAGTGGCATATTATAGAACAAGGACAAAGTCAGCGGCACACAATGGATTCTCTCTAAAACTAATATAGTTAAATTGTTTCTTTTTTATCCAAAACAAAACATCTTTTACCTAAATATGTTCAGAGAACTTCGAAAGAAGTAAGAAAAAGAGGAGGTTAGTCACTAGCCCAAACACATGAGGGTGGTTGCTGCTCACAACTATGGTATGGTATATACTCACATTAATCGATAATACACTAGTATTATTAAAATTGTTCTTTGTAGTGAATGGTGTGAAACTAAAAACTTTAACCTTTTATATTCTTCTGTTGTTCCATCTTCTTCTTTTTTTCTTATTCTTATTTATTTTTGATAATAATATTGCTACAGAAAACACTATTACTTGCACATGAATACTAAGCAGCTAGCTCATGTGTGTATGCTCCGTAATATATATTACCTATGTTTTTACATGAGGAATAATAACTATTATTTTTGTTAATGATATTGTATTTATAAAAGGTATCTGACTAGTTTTTTTTAAGAGAAAGATATTTTTGCTAAATATAATCTAGAATGCTATAAAGGTTAATAATATTAAACGATATAGTCATATAATTTTTTTTGGATAAACTAGTGATCAACACTTGTTATGAATCCAATGATCATAATGCACTATATATATTGTTCAAGTGAGTTGTGACATTCACTATTTACTAGTTACATGCGTATGCATTACAATGAGATCTACATATAAAAATAAGATTTAGTTTATTTCTAGTCTTGTTTTTATGATGTATTGGATTTTTTTTACATTTCTTTAGAAATAATATTGTATAACAACTAAATAATTTATTGTTTTATAAATAAATTATTTTATCGTACCCCCATCTATAAAATCCTACGTCCGCCACTGCCAAAAATCCCTTCTTCACATTAGCAACTCTACCAGTCAAACTCGATTTCTGCAATATAAACAGAATTGAATTGCCATCGAATTTCAGTTCAATAGTGCCACCAAATTCGTAGTAAAAAAAGATCATGAAGCAGTGTGTCATCGACATAATTATGACATACATAATATGTTAACAGATGGATGACCCAAACATAAAGTAAAATAAAATAGAGAAATGATGGAACATGCATGAATAAGAAGAACACATATAGCCTGATGCATGGACGAAAATAGAGTATCAGACAACACCGAATCCAATCAAATGTTGCATCAAAGCTGGTTGGACAAGCAAAATGAAGTGACGCAGACACCGAAATAATTATATGTTTGTTACGAGAAACTGATGCAGGAAACGGATGATTCGTTCATGGTAGTAAACACTGCGAAATCGTATAAATGCTGCACAAAATTGATCAAGACGAGGGTAATATTAATAAATGCCTAATCAAACTGATCCAATAAAACATGCTAGAAATGCCACGAACTCATCCCCTTCTCTACATTTATACTCCATTTCCTTCAACGAATGAGAACCCAAACAATCTTACCGCCAAAGAAATCGGCCGAGCAACATAACCCCCCAAAATCCCGCAACAAGCCATACCGCACAAACCTCGGCCTTCGCCGCGCGGGCCCTCCCGCCGACAACATTGCTGAGGTTCCAGAGCGGCACGCGCCTCTCCGACCTGGTGGTGCCGCCCGCTCCGGCGCTCCCAGCCACGGCCGACACCGGCGAGCGGCGGCGGCCCGCGGCACAGCTCGGCATTGGGGCGACCGGCGGAGTCGGGGAAAAACCTAGACCTCGTCCGACTCCGACGACTACTTTGACCGCTTGACGACGATGAGGGTTAGCCCTTTTTGGAACCTATCTGGTTTGCTCGTGAAGGGAAGGAACCGGATCCTCGGGGAAATATCGATTTTGCTATATCTCACTCGAAAGATTTTTTCTTATTTCTCACTCGATTTTCTGACTTAAATTTACAGTGTATTTTCAAGTTACCGTGTAGTTTATGATACTTGCATTGTAACTTTTATATGTTTTTTTGTAATTTTTAAAATTTATATTGGACTTGGTTTTTTTTCTTAAAATATGGTAATTTAGTGTCCATTATGGTATTTCTTAATTGTTTTTTTACCTTTTACAGTGGCTATTGGGTTTTAATCCAAAGATTAAAAATATGTATGATAAGATCGTAAAAATCTTTCGAAAGATGCATAGGTACTCCCGGGAAATATTTGTGGCGCTGGGTGCCGCACCGCGAGCTGGCAGTTACCTTACCATGGCGCCTGGTCGCCCGCACCCACAGTAGAGGCGAGAGCGGCGGGGCGTTGGGTCGGCCGGGCAGAGTAGAACAGGGAGGGAGAGGGGAACGAGCCGGTCGGCTCAGCTCAACGGTCAGTGTTGTGTATCGATGGTAATTAAATCATAATATTTGACCGTCAATACTTATATAACGAAATAAAATATGGTATCCAAATTAGTGGTAGGGTTTATTACTGATCATTTCTACTAGTGTTGGCGAAATATGTGTACGTAGGTATTTTGAGAAGAAAACACATCTGTTATACAACAAAATGCACCTCTGCGCATTCAGGAGGGCCCATATGTCAACCAAAACCACTTAGAAATTGGACCAAAACATTGTGCAAGATGTTGGGGGCCCATTAGGCAACCTACCGGCCAAAGGAGAGGCCGAGAGGACGGTTTTTGGGTTCGGCCGAACCAAACCGGTTCGGCCGAACCAATCCTAGCGCCTCCCGCCATCTGGCTTCACGTGGACGGCTCGGATTTCCCCTATGGCGGTTGTAGGGTGCCCGAAAGTTTGGCGCTCTCTCCGACTTTTTTCTCGACGAGTGTAGCTTCCTAGGAGGAATTCTGGAGGAGTACCGGAGCTGTCGGTACACTCTGCTCCGGGTCCGGAGAACTTCTTCTGTAAAGTAAGCATTCGTGTTTCTTTCTTATGTTATTTAATTACTTTGTCTATGTAAGATATATTTCCATCTTTGTGGGTTCATTGTTTAGTATTCG